AGGGGGACATCTTTCTAAAATATTTTCAGCCCTGCGGCGTTGCCGCTTCTAAAGAAAAGAAGCAACAACTTTGTTATTTCAAATGGAACACCTTGTATTTTATTGCATTTTTAGATTCTCCCCGAAGAGCTGATTTCATCAATGCATCACACTTAGGGTCTAGCTGTAATGGTTTCAGGGATATAAAGTGTTCAAAATCGAGATTTTTCAACTTTAACATTTTTTTGTGTCGAAACTATTCATTATTGGTCAAAACGGCTCCCATGTCCCGATCTCAACTTGTGATTTACTATCTACTGACATTTATTTGAAACAAATACAGGGTGGTTCAAGATTCAGAATTCTGATCACCCTGTATCTGTTCCAATTAAATGTCAGTAGATAGTAAATCACAAGTTGAGATCGAGACATGAGAGCCGTTTTGACCAATAATGAATAGTTTCGACACAAAAAAATGTTAAAGTTGAAAAATCTCGATTTTGAACACTTTATATCCCTGAAACCATTACAGCTAGACCCTGAGTGTGATGCATTGATGAAATCAGCTCTTCGGGGAGAATCTAAAAATGCAATAAAATCAAGGTGTTCCATTTGAAATAACAAAGTTGTTGCTTCTTTTCTTTAGAAGCGGCAACGCCGCAGGGCTGAAAATATTTTAGAAAGATGTCTCCCTCGAAAATGTAGTTGACCGGTTTCAGTACTTTTTGATAATCCGGTTTTGGCGACCTACAGAGCCTCTGTTTCGTTTTCAAAGGCCCACTCTGTATAGATATATTGAAAGAATATCGAATTTTCACTTATCTTTGGACGTTTCGGGACCGAATCTGCTCCCGTTCTCAACATAAAAATGCAAAATATTTCTTTTCGGAAGTTGTTGCTTATAGTTTGACACTTCTCAGTGTCTTACTGATGATGGCAAAATCTTTTATTGGGTGTTAGTTATTCAGTGGCAAATTTTTATATTTTTGATTTTTTGATTCACCCTGTTTCAAAACCTAAGGACTTGATATAACCGGTGAAGTACCCAATCAATGGAGGAACACATCGAATACTGTCAAACACATAAAACATTTTGTGTAGGTACACCGCCTACTAAGTGAAAAAATTAGGAAAAAATAGGCTGATTGCCCTGTGGATCATCGTATAAGAGGAACAATTTTAGTTTCATTATTCCAAATGGGAAGATCATGTGATAGGTACATGGCGAAAATAAAAGACAGATAGTTTCTGTACGAGTAGCTGAATTCGAAAAAATATTGTCCTATCTTAGATTCCTCAATATCATGAGTTATTTTCGAAGGTTTTCATCTTGACTCAAACAAGCTATCGACAACCTGCAGACATTGATCAGAATATCAAAACATTTTGAATAATATCGGTTTACTAATGATCTTTGAATTTCAAAGCCTACGAAGTGTCGATATATCATCGAATTCATGTCACAGGGTCACAGCCAACTTATTCTTTTTGAATAAAAAGCAATTCAACAGCGAATTAAGAGATAAATGCCACTTTGTGATATATGGTTGAATAGAGAATTTCAAGGCGAAAAAAATTGACTGAATAAATGTACAGGGTGACATTAAAAAAAAAAGTTGGGGTCACTTCCGGTCAAACAGGTGGTTGAAAAAAATTGTCGTTAAGTTCGTAAAGTGCGCTACCATGTATTATATACCCCCTGTGAATTTCAAAATGTTATCTCTTCAAAAAAAAACTACAGGCTGCTACATGTCTCCTGTGTCACCCGGTATATGTTTTTTAGTGAATATTTTCTATACATAACAATTTCCATTGTAATCTCAAATTTCGCTTCTATTTCGGCGAAATATTAACTATCAGTAAAACTCCTTGCAGTCTTTCGAGAGTGTTTGTCTGTCATTCTATTTGTGTTATATTCGACAGCTCTTCATAAATCGAGACGATTTCAGAGTTACTGTGTGATGAAGTTTGTGAAAAACAGTCTACTTGAGTTTTCAAAATGGTAAACCTCAACTTTAATTTTATTGATTCTCAATTGATATAGAGAGATCTTCCGGTAGAAGATACAACGATGAAACTTCGTATACAATAAGTATTCTATGCGTTTCACCATTGAATGAATATTTCACATGATATATCGATTTCTCAGATTCTGATACAGGGCGATAAATCAAAGTTATCAAAATTTGCCATTGAATTATTGAATAACTAACAACTCTATATAAGAGATTTTGATTTCGACAAAAAATTGCCTAATAGTCCTTATTCAAATTTTGACTCATTCAACAATCTAAAGTAGGCCTTGAAAATCTGAATATTTCAGTTCTGTCCATATCGAATAGAACTCGTTCGGTTCTATGAAATTATTGTTTTTGAAAATCGGTCGACGGGTTTCAAATTAGGAAGGTGTTACGAGTTGCAAAATCGCACACACGGTATTCCAATAAGATTACTTTATAAGTGAGTTAATTCAATTCTAAAATCTCTTGGAATTCCTCAGAATCCTTGGGATTCCATATAATTCCTTAGAATTCGTTGACATTCTCAGATATTCTCGAAGTTTCTTTGTAAGATGAAGCTTGACGTGAAAAAACTGAACCTGATGTAACTTGGATTTTGTTTCTTTTGAATTTCTTGTAGGTAGGTTTATACCTCTTCTGAAACCCCTGGTGGATTTTTGAAGATATCTGATATTTCCTGCATTACCTGGAATTATTTGGAATTACATACCTACTTGGAGTTCTGTAGAATTCCTTGAAAAATATCACCAAAAGCTCCCAAATTACAAATTTCATTTATACAATTCAATTCTCACCTTCAGTCCTAATGATCTCAATAATCTGGTAAAAATTACAAAAAAAACGTAAATGGCTTCCTATATATAGCGTGTCTTTTCAATTCATTAATTAAACTAATTTCCTCGCGATACTAGATATTTCCTTGAAATTTCTTGTAGTTCACCGAATACGAAATGATCTATAAATTCACTATTCAAATTTTATAATAATTATTGTCTCCAAACACTCCGAACACTTTCAAAAATACCGTAGCAGGTCGTATAACTTTTTATGCTTTTGTCCATCTGTTGGGAAGGCCACGTGATACCAAAGTAGCAGGTTTGAACGGATTTACAGTATTCTAGTTTTTAGTTCACAACATTCCGTCAGGAGAAGATTCATTTACAGTGCGTTTACAGGAATCTGCACATCTGAACAGATATATATGAATGACGTTGACGCGTAAGGAATCCTGCCTCCACTCTGGCCTCCACTTTCCTTTCCACTCGCCAGGGGACCAGCCCAGAACCAGAGTTGCCATTTTTAGTTTTCTAGTATAGTTCATGCACATTTAGTACGTTCTAGTACATAAACAAAAAAAATGCTCATAACATCATTCTCATAACCAAGCCAAAATTTTAGGAGCATTTAGGAGGAACATATAATTATGTTATGATTATTGGAATCCTATTGATGCTTTTTTGTTGATAAAAAGTCAATAAATTCAAATTCAACAACAGAGAAACAAAATGTCTCGCAAAATGTCACAAACGATAATAAGATTTTCACAAAATTCTTATACACACAACATGTTTCGATCACTAACACAGTAGCTTATCGTTTGTGAAGTTTACATCTGCCATGGATTTCCATCAAGTAACAGCCGAGTCAATTCAAAACATATTCTTTCTCATTTTTCGCCCGTTTTAGTTGAATTCTTTGAGACCTAGGTTACATTTTCCAGAGAGGTATCTTATATTTTTTCAAATTTTTATAAATTGAAATACAGTTTCTCATCGAATGTTTAAATCGTCGAATCCAAGATGATTCAATGTATAATATTATTGGATATATTATATATAATATTAATATCATATATCATAATATTTATGTTCCCTCCTGCAGCAGACCCAGACTGCAAGATCGTCTCAATCGTCTGATTGCGTCTGATTATTTTTCAATTTAGTACAATTGACTCCAGTTTAGTACAATCTCGGAATAAATTCTAGTACGAATTGAAATTCTGAAACGGCAACACTGCTCAGAAACCAGAATGCAGAAATCCAGCGACATTTTGAATTTTTGAAGTTGAAGCTTGACTGGTGACTGCTCAAGCATCTTCGTTCATAAAATAAACAAACGTGTTTTGAGTTGCCTCGTCGAGTCGTCGTTTTGGTTGAAATTAAAAGTTAAAGAGAATGACTTCATTAACTCACCTACCTATCGAATCCAAGGAAATGAGCAAAGTGATCGTGATCAAGGGATATTGAAGGGTTGCCATGAAAAAAATGTTTTGCAATAAACAACTGTCAGAATCATTAGAAACTAAATTTGAGAAAACAACTCATAAAATAACTGGGTAAGATTGTGCAATAATAAAGCCACATGAAACTATAATAATATGATACAATACCTTTGTACTGTTTGTGTTTTAGGTTACCTATTTTCCACTCAAAGTGCCTTTCTGACTACTTGTTTTCTATGGTTACGAAAACCTTCAATCCAGGGCAAATCCATTTGAACTATCATAAACTCGATTTGTGAAAATAAAACTTGACTCAGCACAGTAAGTACAGTAACAATTTTGGGATTTTACTATACATGACACCTTGGGAAGTGATTCAAGCTTTTGACCTAGTAAATTATTTTTCCATTCCTAGTTCTATTTTATTCTAGTTTTTGTGAGCATTGTGGCTATAAGGCTCTATGAATTCTCATTGTATTCTACTTGAAAGTACTATTTCATTCAATGTATTGTGCTCCATATTGTGTTGAGGGACAATACCACAGATTAACAAACCTACAATACATAGGAAAGTTGGTTGGTCAATACATTTTTGGTACTTCTTCCAAGTGAGATTGATGGTGGATTTATAAATTCAACTGAACTAAGAATCAACAATTGAATTAAGAATCCAAAAAGCTGATTTGTTGAATAATTTGAATAGACTAATCAGCTTCCAAAATTTCCTAATTTTATTGTTAATTCTCAGTTTGGTTGATTTTATAAATTCAACATGAGTTTTGTGATATCATAAATATTTTTATTCAATAAATATAGGTCATTATCACAATCAAAACATAAATTATGTTACATTTACATTTCATCAAAATATAAAAATATCAATTTCCTTCTTGATAAGTAGAAGGCACTGCCCCAGTATCATATACTTTGATTTCATAAGTAGCCAATCTCCTCTTCATTGGTGCTGGTGAACATTTGCATTCATTCTGGTCAAAATAATACCCTGTGGTACACTGAATTACATCTCTGCATTGGCAAGTGCAGAGATCTGGGTTCCACAGTTTCTTTCCTGGATTTCTGTAGCATTTTTCTTCCTCATCAACATTTTTGCAAGTGCATCTGCATTCAGCAGGTCTGTATTCTTGGTATTTGTTACAATTCTGAAAAAAAAAGTTGGCATGACAACAGAATTTTTAATTCATCTGAGTTTCTTGGGATCAATCTACATTATATACCAGTTTATTCACCTCTTCTTTTACAATACAGTCACACTTGCATTTGGTGTGTTTCTCCACTAGTATCACTTCCTTTCCCAAGAATTTCAGTTTTTTGCTCCCTGTGTATTGAGTTTTCATGACCTGATAGGCTATAGTTTCTTTTTCTATTGGTTGACATGACAAGAGGGAGTGTGAGCAACAGCCCCCACATTGCTCAACCCTTGTGCACTGAGGGATGTATAGAACACTAGGATCATCATTGTTTATCAGTTTGATGGTCCTGTATTCTGGGATGCAGCCTGCCTTCATTGGAATACTAGCTGAATCTGCAAAATACACCATTTGATCAAAGACAACAATCAATAATATCCATAGAAATAGAAGGATAAGGGGTATATTATATTTTTTCATGATGCATATGCAACCAATGAAAAATGATACATTCTTTAAACCAACTACAAATGTCAATACAGCTGAAAACAACTTTTAAAGTATGAAAAATGTTTGGTATGATCTGATTATTATTAATTCTAAAAATGTCAAAACATGAATCATGTGTGAGCTGTGGCTGTCATGTATGAATTAGATCAATAATTCAAATAACCATGACTTTCGGAAAAGACACATTTTTTGAGCAATTCGCGATAGAAAATAACATGTCGCCCCACCTGACGGCAGCAAATTAAACACTTCTGACCAAAAAACAAATGTGAACGAATGAAAACGAAGTAGAAATGCCGTTTTGACAGCTTTCAAGATCTCCGATAGGTGGTATACGTCCGCTTATCTTCTATCGCGAATCAAAACAATTTCAGCTATCATGTGTGATATTCCTAAGGTTTAAATATTTCAAAATATTTTAATGAATACTGTATTTTAATATCTACTCCCAATATTTATTAGTATCTATCCTTCATAACTTCATGCAGGCGGTACAAGCTTCCTATCAAATTGAAGGTCACTCAAATTCTCACTAGGTTTTTAGTTATTCACAATTTCATTTGGAATTTCAATACATCGTTTATTTTCTGACTGCCAAGTCGAATTTCCGTTTAGTTGGTTTGACAACTGAACACCTAGGCTATACTTGATATATCAAAATTTCTCTCTCCAATGGAAATAAAAATATAAAAATCTGAATTGTTTTAAGATGTTTTTGAGAGAGAGTTGTGGAAAAAAATATTATCTAGGGCTCGAGTGAGAATGCTATCATATAGCTTGCACAATGAAAAAATATTCAAATTTCATTTTAAATGGATCTCACTCAATTACATTCAAGAACCTTTTCTCAGGATTATTCTACCTTTTCTTCTAATATAGGTCTGATACATTGAGTTTCATTCACCCTGTAAAAACGTAATTTTTTTCATGGTACTAGTTTTTAGTTTCTTGATTAAAAAATGATATTTTCAAATTTCGATAGAAAATTGTTTGAGAATTGACCCTACTACTACTACTACTACTACTACTACAACTACTACCTACTACCATGTGGCGCTCGGTTTTCATCGTTCCATGTCATAGCCACGTCAAAACTGGGGAAAAACAAACTCAATCCTCACTCAATCCCATTAGTGCCATTAGCTTGTGTACTGTGTACTGATAAGAGTGATAAGTTTTCAAATTTCTTGACATTAATTGTCAATATTCGATCGAAAAAGCTAATAACGCCGGTTGTAGATGTTCTTTTGCCAGATATTTTGCTCTATTTAGATGGATAAAGCCGACCAGTAGTGGAAGGAGAAGCAGTTCTGTATTATGTGTGAGGCAGAAGACTTCAACAAAAGGCACATTTTTGCACTTTGTCTACGAACTTCGGCGATGAAATCTTTCCCACATGAAGTGGAATTGAAGTTGGGGTCCAGGGGAACTCTTGTAGAACAATGGATTTGTATTTATTCCTGCAAAGCAGGACAATCTGGGTATTGTAAACATGTTGTAGCTGTTCTTTTATATGTCAATTGATTTGCTCGTCATAATTTAGTTTGAATTGTTTTAACTATCTCCAATTCTTCACCCGTTCACTGTTCACTAAACTAATAAAAATGTAATAATGTAAAAAAATTAACCAACTCAACCATCATCACTACCAACAGTGCCAACACTTTATGTCATTGACAAGTTTGACAACTACAGCTACAGCAAGCTGTATGCAATGTAGTCTATGCACTCTATCCATAGACAACAGTTTGTTTTCCCCCAGTTTGAAGTTCGTATTATGTAACCTAGATGTCGCCCACTTCGTGAATCTCGCGAATATGATATTATGGCAATTTTCTTTCAATTACTCGCCATTCTAGTGGTCATGTGACATGTCAAAATCTAATGTAAAGAAAGACAAGAATGAAGCATTTTGATAAAAGCGAGAAAAAAAAAACTAATGTTAATAATTATGCAAGAGTAGTAATTAAGCATTACTAATTATCCTAATGTTCGTCTCTGGGTTAGTTGTAAAACAAATAATAATTTCACCCCCACCTGTGTACTTACTTCTGGCGGTACCTTCTACATCGCCAATTCTACCTGAAAAAAAAAAAACAGGATATAGAAAACATTTTAGTATAATAATATTGATCCAACATTACAAGGGTATCAATTCTGCATTGCAAAAATCTCAAAGATTCATTATCTCAAGTGAACTTTTCACTTTTAGTTTCTCAAAAAAAATTATATCAGTTCACTCATGTAGCCATTTCAGATTACAAAAGTAGGATTACCAACCGAAAACTCGCAGTATACAGGGTGATCTAACTCTTTCTATGACAAACTGGACAAATGAAAGAGAAAGTCAGAACATAAAAGAAAAAAAATCTAAATGTACCATTGTTGAAAATTTTACACAAACTCACAAATTACCTTGTATCTCTGTATTGAATGGTGAAATGAAATAATTGTATATTATTATTTGTATAGATCTTCGAATGAAGAAAATCGAAATCATTCATCAAGCATCCATCAAAGAAGATAATCCACGTTTATTGCGTTTTCTTTGACACGAGTTCGGATGCGTCTTCCCTACCTAACGAACTTTCCCCACCGCAGCTCCCCACAACTCAGATTCCAGATAAGCAAAATCGAAATCATTCATAAAGCATGCATCAAGGGATACTATTCACGTTTATCGCGTGTTCTTTGACACGTGTTCGGCTTTATCTCCGCGTCTGCCCCACCTAACGAACTTTTTCCACCACAGCTCCCCTCAGCCTACAGAAAAATGAGTTTCACGGAACCTGAAGCTAGCGAAGCCCAAAAATTCCTAGACTTTTACGTGGACAAGCTTGAATCCAAATATTACTCATTTATCTTGAACCACTCATAAGTTCCAGGGTTCATCGCGTGTTGTTTGACACGTGTTCGGCTTCATCTTCGCGTCTGCTCTACCTAACGAACTCTTTCCACCACAGCTCCCCTCAGCCTACAGAAAAAATGAGTTTCACGGAATCTGAAGCTAGCGAAGCCCGAAAATTCCTAGACTTTTATACCGGGTATACCATCTCTATAAATCTTTAGATGAACAAAATCGAAAAAATTCATCGAGCATGCATCAAGGAATACTATTCACTTTTATCGCGTGTTCTTTGATACGTGTTCGGCTTTATCTTCGCGCCTGTCTTCATTACAGTTTCCCTCAACCCACAAAAAATTAGTTTCACGGAACACTCCTCGACTCTTGCGTGGACGAGCTCGATGCCAAAAATGACTTTATTCATATTGAATCACTCAAAAGTTCCAGGGTTGTTGTTACCAGTTCTCTTGACCACCGGGTTATGTTCTTTGACACGTGTTCGGCTTTATCTCCGCGTCTGCCCTACCTAACAAACTTTTCTTACTACAGCTCCTCTCAACCTACAAAAAATGAAGCCAGCGAAGCCCGAAAATTGTTCGATTTTCACGTGGACAAGCTCGAGCAGCACCGGCACCTGTTCCAGTACCACCTAGCCGAGGGTGTTATTTATTAAATGTATGAATTCGTAGTCAACATGATATACTCCAGAAAATAATTTTCATCATAAAAATTGCCACTACCGGGAAATCAGAAATGTCTCAATGAACAAAATGCCAAATGTCACGTACATTCCTCTTGAACCACTCATAAGTAAAGGGTTGTGCTTAGTTCTCTTGACCACCGGCTATACCATCTCTATAAATCTTAAAATAAATAAAATTCAAATCCATTCATCACACAACCATCAAAGAAAATCTCATTCACGTTATGCGGATTGCGGCCATTGAGGGAATGAAACCAAATTGTTCATCGGAATGCATTCGAGAAGAGTCCTGTCGAGAGTCGAGTATCATCTCAGGTAATTAAACACTAAATTTACAGTACTCATGTACTAAACAGATACCTAAAGTACTGAAATCAGTACTAAACATACTCTCAGAATAAAATTTGGTACTTAAAATACTTAAACTAGTATTAAAAATACTTAAATTTAGTTGAAGGTAATTAAAATACTGAAGACGTATTTAAATCAATTATTTTAATACTGAAGAACTTAAAAGAGTATTGAATTTTACTTGATGTATTTAAAATGATACTTAAATATTTTAAATTCCATAGTGTACACTACTTAAAAGAGTTGTTTCCCCCTCGACGTTTACCGCGTGCTCTTTGACACGAGTACTCATCAGTCTCCGCGTCTGCCCTACCTAAAGAACTGTTCCTACCATAGCTACCTACAAAATGACGAGTTTCACGGAATCTGAAGCCAGCGAAGCCCAAAAATTCCTCGATTTTTACGTGGACAAGCTCGAGCAGCACCGGCACCTCTTCCAGTACCACCTGGCCGAGGAGGTCGTCCTCGATTGGTTCGGACAGACCGTCAAGGGCGAGAAGAAGGTCACCGAGTTCCTCAAGGTCACTGTGACGGCCGTCGTTCATTTGCTGGGGGACGCTCTGCCCGCGAAAAAGATAGGGTTCAGGGATTCGCACAACGTCAGGGTTCCCAGGTAAGTGAAACCGGTTTTATTCATTATATTTCTTTGAAATCATCCTATTTTCATCTATATTTGTAATATCGTAAGATGGGCTTTTTGATTTCAATTTTATTTATTATTGGTTGATCTAGAGAGATATTCCTGTAGAAGTTATTGCGATGAAACTTCGTACCTATGACTTTACGAAGTAGCAGAAAGATCTAGCCTGAGAGCAATCACAAAAATACGACATCCTCAAATCCTTCATTCAAACCCAGTGCATCCAAAGACACCGTACAGAGATCTTGAGTCACAAGTTTCCAGTAAACACCTTGGTGGAATGCATCACCAACATTGCAGAAATACCAAGAAATTAAGAAATTGACCAATCTTGAACACTTTTCTTTTTTTTTACTCACATCAGACAATAATCCACATAAATATGATTATATTTTATTTTTCAATCAATGAAATGAAATTCAATAAATTTCAATGTATTACAGGCTGAAAGTCTCCGGTCGGTGGCCAATGGGCTTATATCACAAAAAATTTTTATTTCATAATTCGATAGAACTCACCCAAACTAGCTCACCACCGGAAAATCATTTCTTGCTGTGAGCTCCCTACGTTTTATAAAAAAATATTGAAATCTCCGAATTTTCGGACCTCTGAAAACGAGGCGATGATGTGACGTCAAAACCCTAATACTGAAACAAGACTATTCCAGACAGAGATGAATGATATATGATTTCTGACAGAGTGAATCAGCGCGAGATCACAGTTGAAAGAATTAATATATCAGTTGCCTCAGTCTCCGTCGGGCGTTTGGCATTTTCTTTTAACTATGGCGAGATGAGGTTTCTATGTCATAAGAGGGTCCGTTTTCAGAAGGTACTATTATTTATGTCAAAAAATAAAACATTCCAGTCAATTTTTCGATCGAATTATGTCGTCAATCATTATTTATGTATAAAAGGATCATTATGAACATGGTTTGAGTTAAAAGTTCTACTGAGGTGTACACGCCCATTGGGTAACCAAGAAAGCACTTTTATTATTATTATTATTTCCTGATTATTGTAACTATGGTTCATTCACTAGGATACCGAAAGCCATCCCCATAGGGCTGATGAGCCCCCCGAGGACCTTCATCCTCAAGACGCAAGTGAAAACGCCCAAGAAGCAGTCCATCCCCTCGACCAGCTCGCACAGGCCCCGCAGGGGTGTGGGGGATGAAGGGGGTACACCCCCTCGGAGGGTACCCGTATTGCCGCCCGCGTCGCCCGCCAAGAAGATGAGGACCGCCGGCGGTCACGCGACGAGGCCGGAGAACGCCGGCAGCGATTGCGAGACGGTGGAGGAGGAGCAGCACGACGCGGCTCAGAAACTGAGGTGGGCTGAGCGATATACAGGGTGTATCTGAATAGCACCAAAAAGATTCAAGGGGTGTTTCCTTGTGACATTCTAGCGAATATAAGGTCAAATAAATGTGTCCTAAATTGCTCCGTAAGTCAGGCAAAATTTGAAGCTTAATATCTTTCAGAATATTTTTATTTTACAAAAATGTATTCTTTCATTTGGTTGTTTTTTCGCCTCTTATCACGCATTCCATTGATCGCAACAATTCCGGAAACACCCAGTATAGAATATTTTTATTTTGGCTAGTACTATCTCTTATCAAAGTTTCCTGATTAAAATCTGAGAGACCATGTATTTTTTTCTCATAGGTTCGTGGTGTCCGAGGGGGCCCTGGAATTCCGAAAACCCAGCACGAAGCGGTACCAGATCGAAACCAAATGGCGTCGACCGTGCAAGCTGAGCGTCGCCTATACGAAGACCTCTTGCGGCGAATACGCCATCTACTTGATCATTTACGAAGGCAACGCGAGATGCCGCCGGAATCTGATGAAGGATTTCGAGGCCGAAGAGCCCGAAAATTGACAGGCGTAATTATTGTTGAAAAGGTCTAAGTGACATTTTTCAAACGTTGAATAGGTCTAAGTGCAAAATTCGAGACATTCTGAGCTCCGGTTTGAAAAAAAATAAGTGTCAACGCCAATATTCTTCTGTGAACAAGCAGTTGGATTTGGCACATAGACCCTTTTGGAATTTTGAATACATTCTCTTCTAATTTGGCACTTATTACTCTCATAGATTATTTCGAGGGTTTCGAGGCCGAACAACTTCTAAAGAATGCCGATTTTCAACAACATGTATTTTCAAGTTCAAAAGGATCTATATGCTATTACGGCAACATTTATATGAGCGTGCCATGTGTCAATGTAATTGGCCAGTAGTGCGTTGAAAGAAACATCGGGAACGACACTTAGATCCTTTCAACCTCGAAATTGGCACTTAGATCTATCAGTAATTATCCTCAAATATTAAAGGACTTTGAGGCCGAAGAACTCGAAAATCGAGTTGGATAACTGTTGAAAAGGTCTAAGTGCAATTTTTCAGGAATACGGAACACGTAAACCCTTTCCAATTTGGAAATTTTTTTTCTAAAAAAATGATTTTCTAAAATCATTTCTAGGGTATCGGGAGTCAAAGAACTGAGCATTGACCGCTAGTTGAAAAAACTAGTTTAAAAAGAGGTAAATGCCATTATGGCAATATTTATATGAATATGTCATGTGTCCATTCAATAGGCATATAGTACGTTTACAGAAAAATTGGGTATGTGACTTAGATCTTTTTAAACTTGAAATTATATCTATTAGTAATGACCGTTTCTCAATGTTTTCCAAATGTTCAAGGGTCTATGTGCCATCTTCGATGGTCCTGTCAACTTACATGAACATTGGGATAGGCACTTGGACCCTTTCACATTTGTAACTTACATCTTTGAGTCAAAGTCCTCAATTAGTGTAGATTTTTAGAATTTATGTGCCAGTTGAGGAATATTCTTTGGATTGGAAAATGTTTTCAAGTCATAGAATCGAAAATTTGAACAATTGAGATTCAAATTGTTAATTTCCAGAAGAGAGTTTCTTCAAGTGCAGAAGGATCTAAGTGATATCAAAAGCTTCATGTTTCTATTGAGAATGACACCTAGAATCTCCAGTACAAGATTCTGAGACCAAAGAGGTTTCGGTTGTGTAAAAAGGTCTAAGTGACATCAAACGCTTCATGTTTCTATTGAAAATGTCCAGAATTTCTAGTACAAGATTATGAAACAAAAGGGATTTCGGTTGATCCGAGTGTCTATCTTGTGCAAAAGGGTCTAAGTGACATCGAATGCTCCATGTTTCTATTGAAAATGACACTAGATCTCTAATTCACGATTCTTAGACTAAAGAGCTTTCGGTTGATCTGAGTGCCGATTTTGTGCAAAAGGGTCTAAGTGGCATCAAACCCTTCAGGTTTCTATGGAAAATGACACTAGAATCTCTAGTACAAGATTCTGAGACCGTAAAGCTTTCGCTTGATCCGAGTGTCTATTGTGCAAAAGGTTTTAAGTGACATCGAATGCTCCATGTTTCTATGGAAAATGACACTTGATCTCTAGTACACGATTTTTAGACCAGAGAGCTTTCTGTTGATCCTAGTGTCGATTTTGTGCAAAAAGGTCTAATTGACATCAAACGCTCCATGTTCCTATTGAAAATGACACTAGATCTCTAGTTCACGATTCTTAGACCAAAGAGCTCTTGGTTGATCCGAGTGCTGATTATGTGCAAATGGGTCTAAGTGACATCAAATGCTCCATGTTCCTATTGAAAATTACACTGAATCTCTAGTGCAATATTCTGACACCAAAAAGCTTCTGCTTGATCCGATTGTCTATTTTGTTCAAAAGGATCTAAGTGACATCAAATGCTACATGTTTCTATGGAAAATGACACTTGATTTCTAGTACGATATTCTCAGACCAGAGAGCTTTTGGTTGATCCTAGTTTCGATTTTGTGCAAAAGGGTCTAAGTGACATCAAACGCTCCATGTTTCTTTTGAAAATAACACTAGATCTCTAGTTCACGATTCTTAGACCAAAGCGCTTTCGGTTGATCCGAGTGCCGATGACTTTGTGCAAAAGGGTCTAAGTGACATCAAACACTTCAGGTTTCTATTGAAAATGACACTAGAATCTCTAGTACAAGATTCTGATATGGAAGAGCTTTCAGTTGATCCTAGTGTCAATCTTTGAAAACATGTTTTCTAAATAATGTAAAAGGTGCCATTGGCGATATTTCTGAGTTCAACAGGGATGGCACAGAGACCATCTTATGTTTGAAAATATATGGCACTTAGATCTTTTTAACTATTCAATTCGTCAGGGGTGGGGAAACCCAAAAATCGTTATATTGCGCGGCATGACTTCTAAGCACCGAATTCCAGTTCGAAAGGGTGTAAGTGCCATGAATAATACCACTTCTTGTCACTTGGCAATGGCGTATTAATTGAAACTTCTCTCAATATTGAAGATATTTTCTAAAATTGGCACTTAGAACTTTGAGTTATACCTACTCTTCAATACTCGAAATTGGGATTGAGATTTTGAGGGAGGAGTTTCCAAATATTCTGTAGAAAATGTATTTTCAAGTTTGAAAGGATCCAAGTGCTATGTTTTGATCCCATCGGCAGATAGAGCATTAACAGACCCATGTCACATATACCCTTTCAGAAATGTGAACATTATTGAAAAATTGGCACTTAGACCTTCAAGTTCTACTCTTCAATATTTGACGATGGGGTTGTCAAGGGGTGGGAGGGAAAAGGGGAGATTTGAAGAGCAGTCTGTATGAAATATGTGAGGAAATTAGTACAGGAAAATACTCTGAAAATGATGAGATGCTAGTTATTTTTACATATTTCCGTACAGATTATCTCTGGACCAAGTATTTGTTGATTTTTATTAGATTTAGTGCAATTTTTTGTTGGTTGTTAAATGTTTATAATTGAAAGAACATTTCAAGAATTCTTTTTTTTTTGTAATTATTATGAATTTTGTTGATCGTACCTGGTCAGTGCAAAGTTTGTACTATTCGGCCGATTATTATTAATTTTTGCGATATGTTTTTTATTTAAGGTGATTGGAATTTTTCCAATGGAAGTACACCAAGTATTAATGAATTAAGTGAATACTAAAAGACAGAATGGGTTTGTATTCAATATTTATTGATAAAACATTTTCGATAATTTTTTTTTCATTTTGGGTTTTTATCAATTCAAATTTTATCAATTAATTTGTTCAGCTTCAGAATATTTTTCAAAATCCATCATTGGAGATCATATAGGTACAGGGTGATTTACCATAAATGCCCCCCCCCCTCTAGATCAGTTATTTTTTAATCGTTCCCAAAATTTCGAGAACCATTTGAAATGTGTTTTGATAATTTTTTTCCACTACATCAGAATATACAGGGTGCTCGGAACAAACGATCTCTGCATTTTTAGATTCTCCCTGAAGAGCTGAATTCATCAATACGTCACACTTGAGGTCTAGTGACAATGACAAAGATATAGGGTGTTCAAAATCGAGATTTTTCAACTTTAGGATTTTTTTGTGTTGAAACTATTCATAATTGGTCCGGCTTTCATGTCCAGTATCAACTTTTAATTTACTATCTACTGACCATCAATAACTAGAAAAGATACAGGGTGATCATAATTCTGAGTCTTGAACCACCCTGTATTCTTCCAATTAAATGTCACTAGATAGTAAATCAAAAGTCAATATAGGGACATGAAAGCCGTTTTGACCAATAATGGATAGTTTCAACACCAAAAAAAAATCCTAATGTTGAAAAATCTCGATTTTGAACACCCTATATGTCTGTAATCATTCCTGCTAAACCCCAAGTATCATGTATTGACGAAATCAGCTCTCCAGGAAAAACCCAAAAATGCAAGAAATACAGGGTGTTCCATTTAAAAGAATCAACAAGTAGCATTTGTAGTTCGTTTGTTCCGAACACCCTGTAATTTCTGATGTAAGGAAAAAGAATTTATCAAAAACCATTTCAGATGATTTTTCTAATTTTGAAATCGGTTCAAAAGTAAGTGAGCTAGAGGAGAGGACATTTATGGTGAATCACCCTGTACATATTTCACTATTGCCAAAGTTTCAATGATTCGTACTATTATTAGGTTTAAGTTTTTATTTTGGTAATTGAATTTGTTGAATATTTTTTTTTTATTTCAAACGAGCCTTCTTTGTAACTTTTGAGTATTTCTTGAAATTTTGACTGACTGAAATAAAAGTTGTTGATTTCATCTATAATGTTATTAAATAACAATAATTCTTTCCATTGGTCACGTGATTTCAAGAAGGAAACTTTTAAATGGAACACCTTATAAACCAATTTATTCAAAAAAAAAACACCTTGGAAAATTTTTTCTGAGAAACATGATCATATGACAAACGAACTCCTGCATCGAAAAAATATATAAAATACAGGGTGTTCTATCTAAAATTTAAAGTTGAAATCACCTTCTGCGAAATGGCATTGGAAAATTCCTCGGCGTATTTTGAAATTTTGTTTTTTGTTGTTTTTTTAAAATCTTTTAGTAGGTACTTATCGGCATTTCCAAGTTGTTCAACAACTATTCAACTACTCAAATCATCATTTATATCAATGATTCTTGCTTCCATTGGCAAAAACTTATTGTACAATAATGTACATAGTGTTTAGCGACTTAAGATTTTGTAAATTACCCCAGTGATGATCTAGTTAGTTTAAGTGAGAAAATACTAAAATGATCTGATTAGTAAAAATTGTGATTATATCGTGCCACATCCAAAAAACGTCTAAATTAGAGTTTGATTTTGTACAATAAGAAGTGAGTAAGATTTTTTTTATATGATGTACTATAGTAATAAAGATGCAGTTTTGTAAAAAAGTTTTTGATTATTACTTACTGTTTATGAGGGGTTCTTCGATATCGACATCACCTTCCACAAAGTTGAGAAGAAGGTCATTGACACTGTATTGGCTGATGTTTTTGATGAAATCCAAGGGAATCTGAAAATTGAGTGAGTTCCTGATGATTGTTTCTTCTCATATTTTTTCACAATAAAAAATTCATTCAGAATATACAGGGTGACTGGTAATTCGATACATTCCATTGGAGATGTGATTGGGGAAGAACAGGACCGGCGGGCAACCGGGAGAATGCCCGGTGGACCGGTGTCAAACCGAGGCATTTATAGTTTTTCAGTCAATTATATCGAAAAAAGAGTCGTTATTACCCAGATAACACCAACCATCGGCCCAACACTACTTTCCCGCCGTCGAGGTGTCCAAATGGCCGCCAGCCGGCCCCAATCGTTACCACCGATACAACAAGGCCTGCATGCTCCGTGGGTGACGTCACTTAGTGAGGCCTAACCAGCGGCTCGAAACGACAAGCGCTTATAGCGCTATAAGGCGACCGCGTATTTCGATTTTAGTTTTAGATCATCATTGAGCCGATTTTGCTGTTTTTTGAAGGGCTTTCGGTTAAAAAAGGATGCCAGTCGTCAACTGAGCCCTTCTTCGCACCCCATTCGATTTTATTATGGAATAACGAAGTTTTAAAGCAAAAACCAGGATAAGACACAAATATACAGAGTGGGCCTTTGAAAACGAAACAGAGGCTCTGTAGGTCGCCAAAACCGGATTATGAAAAAAATCTGAAACACGCCAAACAATATTTTCGAGGGGACATCGTTCTAAAATATTTTCAGCTCTGCGGCGTTGCCGCTTCTAATGAAAAGAAGCAACAACTTTGTTATTTCAAATGGAACACCTCGTATTTTATTGCATTTTTAGATTCTCCCCGAAAATCTGATTTCATCAATGCATCACACTTGGGGTCTAGTTGTAATGGTTTCAGGGATATAAAGTGTTCAAAATCGAGATTTTTCAACTTTAACATTTTTTTGTGTCGAAACTAATCATTATTGGTCAAAACGACTCCCATGTCCCTATCTCAACTTGTGATTCACTATCTACTAACATTTAATTGGAACAGATACAGGGTGATCAGAATTCTGAATCTTGAACCACCCTGTATTTGTTTCAAATAAATGTCAGTAGATAGTAAATCACAAGTCGAGATAGGGACATGAGAGCCGTTTTGACCAATAATGAATAGTTTGGACACAAAAAATGCTAAAGTTGAAAAATCTCGATTTTGAACACTTTATATCCCTGAAACCATTACAGCTAGACCCCAAGTGTGATGCATTGATGAAATCAGCTCTTCGGGGAGAATCTAAAAATGCAATAAAATACAAGGTGTTCCATTTGAAATAACAAAGTTGTTGCTTCTTTTCATTAGAAGCGGCAACGCCGCAGAGCTGAAAATATTTTAGAACGATGTCCCCTCGAAAATGTTGTTTGGCGTGTTTCAGATTTTTTTCATAATCCGGTTTTGGCGACCTACAGAGCCTCTGTTTCGTTTTCAAAGGCCCACTCTGTATATCCACCTACAGCAACCCATTCGAATTAAATATATTGGCAAAAATTGTGGTGAAGGTAAACTTCACACCTACTTATACAGGGCCCGCAGAACATAAACTTATCGTGAGATTGATCGAAAGAAAATTGTGGAAAATGTATTTTATTTCGATTGACATGCCGTTTGTTACAAATACCTATATTTATCTTGGAGAATTCCTATTACCTGAAAAAATAACCAGTGAGTGTTTTCAATCTTCTGTTGTTGGATTTTTCACCCAAGTGGATCGTTACACTTGAAACCGTAATTTTTAAGGGTAAAACTGCATTTATCATGCGATGGTTTTTTTTTTGAAAATTTTTTTCGGTACTCACGTATTTTTGTCTGATAAACCGAATTTTATAATGAAAATGTGAACAAACCACTATTTATTGAGATATTTCAAGAAAAAGTTCGAAATTTCGCCTTCTTTCTCCCCTTGTGTTGGGGGGCATTTGAAGCTACTTGGCTCTTATTTTGTCATTGGACACTTTATATACTCATGACATCTCATGATGTACTTCGATGGCACATTTTTATATAGAAAATTCAACAGGAAATATGATTTTTATGGCGAGTTTTTCATATTTAGTGAACAAGCATTCCAGATGACGACCATTTAATCAATAGTCAATCAAAATACGAGATGTCAAATGTCAATAGATTGGTTTCGAATGACATTACACACGCCATTATTTTGAATGATATTCTTCCTTCTTTTCACTAAATATGGATTAATCTCAAGAAAATCATATTTATATAGTTGAATTATATATATAAATTGTCCAATATGATGACCGTTTTCAGAAAGAAATTTGAGAATGAGAATTAAAAATGCCCGTTTATTATGAATATTCAAGAAAATTTCCTCGAATTCAGAGATGATTTTGTTGACTAATATACGAATACAAAACTAACTGCACAATCAAAGCTTTTCTATTTTTCCTCTACTTATACTTTTTATGAGAGAGTAATTAATTCATCATTATAAATTAAGCTCTGTTTACTACTGAACTTAGATGGAGTAAAATCCTCGCGGTGAATTGCATATACCCACATTTTCGATAGCTCCTCGTCCAACGGGAAACTAAAAGCATGAACTTTTGAACCACCCACATATAATTCCCCCGACAAAAGGGAACACAACACTTGAAAGGCATTGTTATTTCGCCGATCACAATACAAAATATTTTACAAAACAGTAATTTTTCTGCCAATTATTTTGACGAATAAACAACAAAAGAATTCGGGACCGTTTCAAATACATACGTGAATCACCGATGAATTAACAGGAACTGACGCGTCAGTCGACAAGCGATAAAATAAAACACTGGCCTCTCTTGGTGACGTCACGAGCTGTTTACGTCAGAGTCTGCTGGCCTTGTTGTATCGGCCCCAATACACATTACCGGCGATTGAATTATTAGCTTAGAAGTGCTACAGCGGCAACTGATTTCAATGCATTATTGATGGGAGCGCTCAGCCACTAACGTATATGCGCTTGCAAATCCGTTTCAAGGAGGATGAGTTTTTCGAGTAGGTACTTCCCAAGTATCTGACCGCGATCTACAAACTATAGATGCGCACAGACTCACCCTCTTTAAACGGACTTGCAAGCGCATATACGTTGATGGCTGAGCGCTTCCATCGATGGTGCATTGAAATTTATTGCCGCTGTAGCACTTTTTTTTAATACTTTTTCATAGCAACTTTTTCGTAGAATTATGAATTTTTTTAATACGGTCCTGACGTGTACTGATTGTGCGTTGACAGCACGTTGACAGATTCTGGAAGCTTCTTTCAGTCTGAATACAAGTAATACAATCATATGTATTATTCAAAATTGTTCGAACATGTTTCGCCTCAATTTTAGTCATCATCAATGTCTCTTCGAAATTCCAAAGAAAAATATCATTTACAATTTACAATCTGTATGGTGTAATACAATGAATGAATGATTTAGATCTATGATGAAATTATCATGCAGAGGCACACACAGGCGCCAATATACCTAAGTGTATGATGAGGTGACAAATTATTTAAAAGACATTGAATTCCTGAAATTTTCCATTCCACTGAATCATTCTATCCCAAACATGTAATAGGTAATTGTGGTGTTGTATTTTGAAACCACTCATTATAATAACTTGCTACTTTATATTGTTACCTTGCATCTCATGGCATTGTCAAGGTCAGCAAGTACAGTTTTAATATCGATTAGCGATTATATATCTATAGTCATTATTACCAATGAGGATAATAATGTAGAGAGTGTTGTTTTTATATAGGGCATTCACCTAAGGTATTCACTAGGTCCTCGAATAATAAACAGAACTCAAAAGAAACTACAGATATTTTTCAATGAACTTCATAGAATTTACAGAGACCAGTTCAGAGTTGTTATATGGAAAAAAGCTCATAAACCATAAGCAATTTGGAAAATATGATTGAGATTGAATACCTAACTCGAAAAATAAGATTTTTGAACCAATCAATTCTTTACCTTGATTTTTTCACAGAAGAATAGGATAACATACATGAGAGAAAAATGTAGGTAGGTACCTAGGGAGAGAAGCAATTTGGAAAAACCTCAAAAATAAAATTTTCGAACCAATCAATTCGTCACCTTGATTTTCCCACATAAAAATAGGTGAAGTTTATAGAAAAAGAATGGCATGCGATGTATCAGAAAAATAGGTGGAGATGATAGAAAAAGAATGGCTGTATATACATACACCTTATACATATATTCCTTGATGGGACGAGAGAAATGTACGGAAATTGGAAAATTCCTGAGCATTTTCATTCTACCTCATGGAGTTCAGAGACGTGCCAAGGTATTTGTAATTCTTGTCGAAAAAAAATCGCGAAAAAACTACAGGGTGATATTTTTTTCTGCATAAAAGCAGCCGACTATCTCGCTTCGTACGCCTGTGAACATTCTGGAGCTTGTCCATTGAGGGTTAATTATTATTATTGTTTAAATAAGCATCAATTTCATATATTTTGAGTAAACTCAAAATATAGTGCTTTCTGATCTCGTACATGTAATAATCTTTTCGAATATCAAAGTAATGTTGATATGATTGAGGATGGATTTGTCAAATGAACTATTAGTACGTTCTGAATTCTAAGATTTGTCGATAATTCTTAATATGTTCATTAATCCTAGTCAATACTATTCTACCACTCTGTCCAACATACTATGAGCTACAAATCAGGTTCAGAGTCATCAATTTTGTGAACAATCTCAATAGGCGGATTTTATCCAAAGATCTCACCAGGGAAAGAGCAAGAGCAAGTATAATAACAGTTATCTAAATATTTCGAGATGAGAATACGATATCTTCATCTCTTGAATTTTCAATAAATAATTAAACAAATCAGTTTGATTCATAAAACCATATGAAACTCAAAATTATACTTACCGTCAAGCTGGCATTGTCAAAGGAACCTTTTCCTTTCGGACCATTTCTCGACACATCGCCCTGTCCATTATTTTTCAGAACTTCGTTGTGCTGGTGAGGGAAATCCGGTGGAAAATCCCCGTGGGTACGGTGGAAATAGGGATCATGTTGAAAACCAGGCGGGAAACTCCTGTGGTTGTGATTGTGACTGTGAACTATTGAGGAATCCAAGGGATGATGATGATGATGCAACAAAAAGTCGTTGGGATATACTATTTTTGATCTGTCGTCGTCTTTTGTTGCTGGAACGAAAAGAAATGGCATATTTGAAAATACATGGATTCACTATACCGGGAGACACAGGGTATCGGGACAACCCTGTAACTGCTGCAGTCGTGAAAATATTTTACTGAAATTTAACCATTTCGGATTTGATCCCATTACAATCCGATATGACGGACTTCCGATTTTTCTGGAAATGCCAGCAATTTTGTTTTTTCAAATGCAACACCCTCTATATTTTTAACTATTCAAGTTCAACAGGTCAAAACAGGTGCAATGTTAATGTCAAATATCATTTTTTCGAAAAAATTCAAATTATTCGAACTACCAGGAAGTTGATGATCTATAGTTGTTGATTTTTGAATGTATACAATTTGTTACTAAACCGAAATACAAGGGACCACAGGGGTTACATATGAAAAAAATGAATTTTTGATCAAAATGTGATCTGACTGAATTGATTCATCGATAAGTGACAAAATATTTTTTCAGAAAAAAATACGTTTCTCTATTATCTGCGACTCATTGTGAATAGCCTTGATGACCACATCTCATATATCCACGAGCTGTAAAATGATAAAAGTATTCCAACTTCAATCAAAAAAAAAAAGATCGCACTTGTTTTGACCTGTTCAACTTGAATAAGTAAAAATATAAAAAGTATATTCCATTTGAAAAGTCCGTCATTTCTGATTATCATGTGATCGAATCCGAATTAGTTGAGAAGAAAACTTCTTGGTTTAATCAAATCACAATCAAATTTTTATTCACGTAAGACTTTATTTGGTCTATTTACACAAATTTAGTCAATTAAAAAACATAAAAACTTTTAGCATTAGCGAGATATATTTAGGATTGAAAGAGTGATGCCCCTAAATGTAGACAGCACGTTATGCAATTTCTTGTAGCATGCTATGAAAATAAATGTCATTATGTCATTTATATTGACAATTTCTTGAACAAAATATAATTGTATCCAAACATTTCCTCAACTTTATCTACGAATATGTCTGATAGTATTGAAAGTGATGAAATTATGAACACTCCACCGGAGAAAAAATATATTTCTCAGTTGTGTGGGACTCATTGTGAATAGCCTTGATGACCCCATCTCATATATCCACGAGCTAAAATGAAAAAAGTATTTCAATTTCAATTAAAAAAAAAAAAAATTACATAAAGATTGCACTTGTCTTGACCTGTTGAACTTGAATATGTAAAAATATAAATAGTATTCCATTTGAAAAAACAAAGTTGCTAGCATTTCCAGAAAAATCCAAAGTCCGCCATTTTGGATTGTAATATGATCGAATCCGAATTAGTTGCTTTTATAACCGTACCAAATTTCAGAAAAATCCGTTTACGAATGCAGAAGTTACACGAATGACCCGATACCCTGTATCACCCGGTATACATATAGGTATTTCAGTGAACTTGTAATCCTCAGAAATGTTTAGAATCACTTCGATCATATTGTCATATACAGGGTGTATCTAAATGACACCGAAAAAATTCAGAGAGTGTTCTCCTTGTGACATTCTAGCAAATAAGGTTCATATAAACATGTGTCCTATATCTTGCATTGTTTTTGAGATACAGGATGGTGAAGTTGAAAGTATTAATTGTTTTTATTTATAACCCCCCTGTATATAAGCTTTCATGGTTGCAAAATTCAGTATGGATAGAAACTGGGAAAGCCCCAAAATTTCAAAGTGATTCTAATTGGGGTTATTGACTAATCTCAATGGAAGTCATGAGAACACCTTCATTAAAATATGGAGTCAAATCGAATTTTTATTGTTTCCTCAAAAACTAAGCTAGATTCAAAAATCTAATAAAACCGAAAAACCGGTGGTGTAAAATGACATTCACCATGGATATCGATAAATTTACTCACTGTGACGCCACTGGAAATATTATTTCGAATATAATTGCATTAAAAGAAGCTCCATATTACTATTAACAATACCACAACGTTTTATTGAAATAGAAAAAATATTTTTCGTGGCAATATTAACCCATTTACGCCTACCGTCCTTTTAAAAGGACTTCAAAACGAAACCTGTATTTTTTTATTCAGCTGACGGTTTGAAGATGTCGCCAGTATCATATTATATTTTGTTGACATCTCACACAAGGTCAATCGCGATCTTTAGGATTTTGTCAAGTTTTGGATCGATAGTGACGGTTTTTCAATCATGCCCCAATTGAAGAGAATCACAGCCTTGATGAGGCTATTATACCGTATTTTTTGGCCTATTATAGTAATGTTTCTAAAAGTTTCAAGTATTTTGCTGAGCATTTTGTAGGATATAATATAAACATTTTATTAAATCTTTGATTAGTTTTCTAATAGTAGCCCATTATCCTACCGTCTTCTTAGAGGGACAGCAAGATCGAAGATTTTTTTATAATTTTTTCTCGACTTATGGGACCTTCTATAAACCGTTTTTGAGAAAAAATTATACAAAATTGGAAAAAGTAGTTTCAGGGTCATATGAGTTGATACCCTGTGTCTCAAAAACGAAGCAAGTTAGGACACATGTTTATATCGAGGTTTATATGAACTTTATTTACTAAACTATCACAAGGAATTACCCCTCGAAGTTTTTTGGTGTTATTCAAATACACCCTGTATATTGCTTGAAATTTACTGTAGATATTCAAGTTCTACTCCAGACCATTGTCGATCTAAATGGAAACCTAGTAGGCGACCTAGTATACGCGAGGAGTTATTATAGCTCCTGCATGCCTACTAACTACCTAACAATAGGTTGTCATCTAGAACGACAATGTCCAGACTATATGAAATTACTTTCAATTCTCAGGGATTATTCGTGATTTCTTGAAATGGTCTCATGAGTCCATGTAATTTTAGATTAAATCGAATTTCACAGCATATTATGGATGAATAATATTCTATACAAATTGTTACGAGGACTAATTTGGAATTACATGACATCACTTTAAATTCTCTGAGATAACTCAAAATTCGTTGACGAAGGTTATTGAAATACTATGTACAGCGAATGTACCCGGTGAACAACTAAGAACGGCTGTCATATCTATCATTCTTCCAACTTTGATAGTCAATATCTTCCGTTAGCGAAAAGCTATCATGTTGCGGTTTTCGTTGGTCTGTTGAGATTTAGTTTCTCTATTACATCGTGTAATGATATGCATACCATTAGATTTATTCTATCTCAAACTTGTATCATTATTCGTTGCTGAGATATGGCCGACAGCCGTTCTTATAGTTGTTCACCCTGTACAGGGTGGCCAACTAAGAATCCAGATTTCGATACCTCTGTTGTCTTGAGAGATACACAAAAAAGTTTTGCATTCAAATTAAAGTGATAACCGAGCTTCATATTCCAAAATTTCTTTGAAATACACAAGGTGTTCCGTAAGGTCACAGCACATCAAAGCTATGTTTTTTTCATTGGAACATCCTATATTTCATTTCATTTTTGAATTCTCCCTGGAGATCTGATTTCAACGACGTAGCATACTTAGGGTATAGCAGTGAAAGTTACTGACATATAGGGTGTGCAAAATCGAGATTTTCCAAGTTCAGGATTTTCTTCTGTCGAAACTGTTCATTATTCGTCAAAACGGTTTACATGTCCCTATCTCAACTTTTCACTCACTATCAATTGGTGTTCAATTGAAATTGATACAAGGTGGTCAAAAATCTAACTGTTAATAGGTTCGAAAATTATTCAGTAACTAATTCTTTGATTTGTTCAAATTTATGTCACTTTTCCCTCACACACTTTCTCATTAAATCCTTGAAAATCTTTGTAATTCCTGAAAAACTGCCTACGATATGTATGTTCTGACTTTCTGAAGAGTTTATAGGGTGTTTTAGAAATAATTATATCACCATTTCAACCCATCCAATATATAAATGGTGAATTGAGAACTTCCTCTTCGAAATGAATGAAAAAATTCTATCAAATTCTTCGAAATGCTATTCCAATATTCGTTGTGTCAACATAAATATATATTTGACTAGGCACCTACCTGTATTATCATTCACAATATCACTTTTCACCACCACCACCACCAAACTTGTCAAAGCCAAAACCAAACTAGCCCAGATCACCATCGCACTCGACTAGGTACTATATGATATCCCGAGTACCTATTACCCAACAGATCCTTCAATCTATTAGCAAGTCTCTCTACGTCTACTGCACTATACCGATATCCTCGATAGACTTTCAATGAGAAATCTACAGTGTGACATGTAGGTAGTCGGCCTTTGAAACGAGAAAAACAAACCTCGGTGGAAATGGTACTATGATGGTACTGAACTGAGGTGAGTACCCACTGAAAGTGGCACCTCTAATGTCTGCTCTGCGACAGTGCTATGAGCTGAAAGCCAACTTTCTTTGGTTCTTCGGTGGCAAGACAGGTCCCCAGACCTCCGACTGATAATTCGCAAAAGCGATAATAAAGTTGGCCATACACTGACGAAAATACAGGGTGGTCAAGAAACCGGACACTCTTGATAGGTTGCATATACAGTGCGACCACTTTGAGTGGCGTAAATCCTTTATTATTCTTGTTGAAACATCCTTTGTAATTCTTTTAATTGTTAGAATTTTCAATATAATTTGTATATCAGATGATTTGTCTCAAAATGTCACTGCTCTTAAAATTTTAATACTGGAAACCGGAGAGAAATTCAGTCGATAGGGAGTGATAGGTACCAGGTTTGAGAAATGTTTGAAGAAGAAGAAGAAAATAGGTAAAGTAAAAAATACATAGAATGTCAATATCTCTATTTGGACGTGATTGATATGTGCCTATATTAAAATAAACGCAGTGATATACAATATGCTTATTTTTCAGTGAGTCAAATATTTCCTTTGAACATATTTTAATATCAATTCAATTTCAATTGATTCCATAGATAACATTGATTAGATATCTGTTTTTCAATGAATGTTATAGAGAATATATTATCATTTTCTCAGAATTTGATATCTGTTAAGTTTCATCGATACTAATCAGATTTAATTTAATATTCTGTGGGATTGCCGGGAAAGTAGTTATTTTCTGTTAGATCTTCGAAAATTGTTAATATCAATCAATAAAACATAATTAATTATGTTTGTTTTGATTGATCTTGAATTTACTATTTTCAAAACCACTTAGGTTTTAGAAGTATGTAATACCATCATCTTCAGCAACAGAACAGGAAGCAATATTATTCATTGTCTCCGTTCATAAAAACGTAAAAAGAATAAAAAAGGTGCTCTTGATCGACTGTGATAAAATGCACAGTTTTGGAGTGAAATTGATATGAACATTTTTGGGTGTGGAATATATTGCCAAAGTATTGCACAAAAATGGACACACGTTTTATGCTTTTTCAATATATTATCTTTAGAACATTGAGAGCCGTTTCGACCAATAATGAATAGTTTCGACACAAAAAAATGTCAAAGTTGAAAAATCTCGATTTTGAACACTTTATATCCCTGAAACCATTACAGCTAGACCCCAAGTGTGATGCATTGATGAAATCAGCTCTTCGGGGAGAATCTAAAAATGCAATGAAATACAAGGTGTTCCATTTGAAATAACAAAGTTGTTGCTTCTTTTCGTTAGCAGCGGCAACGCCGCAGGGCTGAAAATATTGTAGGACGATGTCCCCCTCGAAAACGTAGTTGACGTGTTTCAGATTCTTTTCATAATCCGGTTTTGGCGACCTACACAGCCTCTGTTTCGTTTTCAAATGCCCACTCTGTATATCTCGTAAGAGAATAAGAAAAAAAGTGTTTGAAGCAGTGCCGGGCGGTTGAAATAGATATAAGTCCGGGTGCATCAACCGGATTTTTAAAGGAATTTTCACAGAAGTCGCGTTACACATTATTTGAGAACATCATTGTATTCGAAAAAAAAAAATTCGAACAAGAAGAAAGAAAATATAAAAACATAATACGGTGTCATTTGACGAAGAAAGTTAACAGTCGCTGACATTACAGTTAACATTGGAGATCAAAGCATACTCATAGCATTTGATGAGTTATTTCATTCGCCTTTATATTTTTCAGAATCGGGTTATTAAGCCTGCGTTATACAGGGTGAGTCAAAAATATGTACCGAGCTTTCTGAGGGTGATAGTACATCGAAAAATAAGTGTGGTTTGATGAATGAACTCATATGACCCAAAATGCATATTAAGGGAGATACATCCTTCCAAAGTTAATAAAATAAAATAAATTTATACTCATAACTTCTAAACGATGAAAGCCACCTGATTGAAATTTTGTGCATGAATATATGTTTTCAACATACAATTTTTCGTAACACCTCCACATTTCCGGTATAAATGGTGTTTTTAGAGGGTGAGTCATGATTTTTTGAAGACAGCTTCTTTCCCTGTATATTAGTTTCGGTGAAAAAACAGGAGCATTTGATAAAACGAAGAGAATAACATAAAAAAGGTACTCTTATTCTAATACAAAATATTGAACAGTCCTCGAGATATTAGAGTTTTTGCAGTTAAATGATATCAGCAGATTAAGTCATCGCGAGATTCATCGGTAACGATATTTTAGCTAGCCATGATGAATAATTTCGTTTTTAATTTTGATGTTCATGTCATCGACATTTGTGGTTTATCTGTTTTATATTGTTACTGCGATTTTCAACTGAGATTTTGAGAAATGGTAGGTTATTCGTTCTCTGAACAAACTGATATGCTTCTAATGCTTGGCGAGTGCTCGGGCGAGTGCTTCGGAAATGTATATGCTGCTGTAAATTCGAGAACAATTTTGGGGATTGTGCAAAGACTGCGTGAAACAGGATGTTTGAAAACGGAAGAAGTGCGAGAACTGTAGAAGTTGAGGAAGAAGTATTAAATACTGTGGAACAGGATCCGGGAATAAGTACTAGGAAATTAGCAAGACGAATAGACACAACACAAGCAAAGATTCTCAGAGAGCAACAGCTACACCCTCATCATTATTTGCAGGTACAAGAACTGTTACCACGAGACAATGAAATAAGAGTGAGATTTTGCGAAGAGATGCTGGAACGAACTCGAAGATGTCCTGAGTTTTTGAACAAAATATTGTTCACAGACGAACCAACTTTCACTAGGAACGATGTTTCCAATTCGCGCAACACTCATTTCTGGGCGTGGTGCAGAATTCAGAATCTTGATCACCCGGTATATGTCCCAATTAAATATCAGTAGATAGTTAATCAAAAGTTGAAATAGGGACATGTGAGCCGTTTTGACCAATTATGAATAGTTTCGACACAAAAAATTCTTGAAATTCGAAAATCTCGATTTCGATTTTTCACACCCTATATTTCAGTAATTATAACTGCTAGACCCCAAGTATGATGGGTCTTTGAAATCAGCTCATCAGGGAGAATCTCAAAATGAAATAATATATAGGGTGTTCGATAGAAAAAATTTAACTTCAGTGTTTTGTGGTTTTTGGGGACACCCTATATGTTTCGAAATAATTTTAAATGGTAGCCTATGTTGACATGCAACTTCCTAGAGAGGAAGAATTCCAAGAAGATAAGTGGTTAGCCTTCTAGAGACCGAGGCGTTACTGGTGGCCCACCCTGTATATAATATAATAACAGTTTCACCAAACAAAATTATGAAATTCTTTCTGGTTCCAACTCGGATTCCATCGAAAACGATCCCACTAATTCTGGTTTCATATGACAAATCTTGACAAGATACAATGTTTGCCCCTCAGCTCAGCAACCTGTCAAATGACGTAATTCTGGAATGACTAATTGGGCTATCGGCTATAGCATGGTGCATCAACTTCAAATCAGGTGCTGTTACTGCAGTTGGTGTATGGTTAGCTATACCTATGTAATCGATTAATGATAATGACAAAACATACTCACTGAGAATCGTATTTTTAATCGAGACGGGATGTGGAATATATCCAAATCTATTTGCGTGAAATGTAAAAAAAACTTGGCTATTCATAATTTTTTCTTGGTGAGATCTCAGTGTTTACAATAAAATGTTTTCTGTGTTAACATTAATGGGAAGTGGGTGTAATCATCATAAATTGATGAATGTGATGAATAAATAAATGCATCGATAATGATGATTCAAACAGTGACTGGGAAAAATCCAAGTTGAACTACGGTATTTTTCTCACTTTCCACATATTTATCTATTTGGAAATATGTAGGTATCATAATACACAAGATACAAACTTGAAACAAGTTTTGGTAAAACTGCACTTATCATGCGATGGGTTATTTTTTGGAAAAAAAATTCTGGTGCTCACGTATTTTTGTCTAAAAACACGAATTTGATAATGAAAATGTGTACAAACCATTATTCATTAAAATATTTCACTATGAAGTAATACATTTCACCTTCTTTTCCGCCTGTCTTTTGGATCGCATTTAGAACAATTTGCCCATCTTTTTTCATTGGACAATTTTTATATCACGATGATAAATTTTTTTCTATTATATGGGTCAACTAGAAATATGATTATCTTGCGATTTATTCATAAGTGAGAAGAAGGTAGAATATCATTTAAAATAATGGCGTGTGAAATGTCATCAAAAGCAAACTGTTGATATTTGACATCTCGTATTTGGATAGACTGTCGATTAAATGGCCGCCATCTGGCATCTGGTATGATTGTTCACTAAATATGAAAAACTCGCCATGAAAATCATATTTTGTGTTGAATTTTCTATATAAAAATGTGTCATGAGTATATACAGTGTCCAATGACAAAATAAGATGAGCAAGAAGCTAGTAATGAAATATCTCGATAAATAGTGGTTTGCTCACATTATCATTATCGAATTCGTGTTTTTCAGACAAAAATACGTGAGTACAAGAAAACAATTTCGAAAAAAATGATAAGTGCAGTTTTACCCAAGTTTTCACCAATTATTGTAAATGTTAATGCTTCAAGAAGTTCTTAGGAGAAAGAAACTTGATGTTACAATTTGGCAAAAAAAAGTTTCAGGTAGTTGGTGGTTTTATTGTATTGTTTGACAGAATTTTGATTTGGCTTCACTATATTTTGGGTTTTTAATTCAATATGAGTAGGCCACAATTTTCCTTAATTTTACCCAAATATTTTTTTGTTTACTACAGCTACCTTTTTGATATCTACAGGGTCCTGCCTCTCACCTCCCGTCTTCTATAGCTCAGTTTTCAGTTGAGTCAGGATTTTGATATTTTGCAGACTTCAATTGTCTCATAGGGCGCATACCAGGAACATAATTTCGATTATACAGGGTGTCCCAAAGAAGTGTGACGTCATAATGATATATTTTTTAAAATCGCACGCCATATATTTTGTTGCATATTTGAGTGCTTCCAGTGGTTACCGACATACTCCTGGGATTTAATTGAAATCGGTTCGGT